CACGTTGCGCTAAAGTAAGATGGTCTGACACGCCAAAGTCCGATGGTGCGGAGAAACAATCAGCGTTTATGACGTCACAATAATCCGACGTCAATCCTTGACGCCGTTGTTCTGCATTCAAAAGCCATCATTTCTAAATTCGTCCTCGAATACAATTTTATTGATTTTGTTTATTGCTTGCACCTTCCAGATATATTAGGATTAGTCCTCGCACACAACTCGATTGATTAGGGTTAGTCCTTGCATTGCACGGCCCGAGATATTTAGGGTTAGTCCTCGCACACTAGTCGAGTGATTAGGGTTAGTCTTGCAAACACCCAAGATATCTAGCTTAAATTGATACACACTTTTTGAGCGTATAGGGTTAGTCTCGCACCTATCTGAGAGATAAGGGTTAGTTTTCGCATTTATTTGTTTATTTATACTTATTTTTAAGACCTTGGCATGGCGCGTCATTGAGGTTTGGCGCAGTAGTACTACGACGTCATAATCGTAAATTGTTTTCCGCACCATCGGACTTTGGCGTGTCAAACCATCGGCATTTGCGCAGACCATAGGACTTTGGCGTGACCATCGGACTTTGGAGTCCCATCGCACTTTGGAGTCCTACATATGTATCAGTTTTACTAGTACCTCCCCACGCTTCTCATCACTTCCGTAACTACGATTGTATTATTGAGCGGCAAATTTGAATTAACAAAAAGCAACAAAATTTTACATCGACAGTTGTTTAATGATTTTAAAATTAAATAATAAAAAATGACTCTAATTCTTGGTGATATTCTGCTTCGCGGATTTTGAAGGATATGTAGATAACGAACAGTATTCAATATCAAATTCCATAAAACAATACAAAATAGGAGCAGAGCAAACACGGACCTCTAAAACATCAGAAGTGGGATCAGATGGCATGGAGGAGTGAGCATCCCCTGCTGAGTTCGTGGATTCCTGACTTTTCTTTTTTTATTTAACGTCATATGCTATCCAACTTTGGTAGAAATATTTAAACAATAAATTATATAATTTGTTTTAAAAAATTTAAAATTATCATGATTTATTTCAAACCTATCCAGAATTAAAAACTGCAAACATCGGACAGAGGAGCAGGTCAAAATTTAGTAATTCACAAACAACACACTAAATAAACATGATAATGTCTGTAGCCATAGTTTCTGTAAAATGGAACAAAAACAAAAATAAATCCTAAATTTTTAAATTAAAAACTGTCACATTTATTCGCATTCCAAATTATGGCTTAAGATTTTGCTTCGTTGAAAAGAAATCAGTTTGAGAAAATAAGTAGTCATCATTGAACGCGACAAAAAGGATGATGTTGTTGAACGTCATGGAGCAGCAGATTTCGATGCAATTTTGTGTTATACTAGGGGAAACTCCTGAATAAACAGTAAAAATGTTAGAGGAATAACAAAATATGTCACAAGTAAGTCGTACATGTGTTTGTAAATGGTACAGGCGGTATTTGAGAGACAGAGGCTCTGTATCGGACGAGGACAATCAGTGAAGAAACGGTTTATCTGGTAAAATCTGAACAAAAACTTTTAAAAGTTAGAACGTCAAGGAAATACATAGGTGCTTCGGAGTTGCTTATCCTGTGAAAGCAGATTTAAGTTATAAAAGAAATTAAAATATGAACGAAAGAAATTATACGAGAACAAATGTAAAAAAAAAAATGAATATCATCACGACAAGTGACAGAAAAAATGTTTTGGAAAAGTGGGTATTGGATTATACTGTGTGAAATGTAGAGGGGTTGTATTTTTGAGAAATTCTTGACGCTATGATTTGACGTTACACTGCCGTGAAGTATGCTCCGCGGGCACAAAACATGTTGATTTTAAGATGAAGTAAATTGATTTCTGTTAAATCGAATGGAATGAAACTTAACATAGCAACAAAACAAATACTTTTATGTTCCGTTGGTTGCATTAATATCTTGCCGAGTTGACTGAGCTTGTTTTTTGACCAGACAGGCAGAACCAGTAACAGTAATTTTCTTTGAATTTTTGCGTGGCTTCTCCTTTCAATAAAATAAAACAAAATGATCACACAAGATGAGGAGCCGCACTGATTGGCTAAAAATTCCAAACTGTGGTTTGGGTAAAGTTAGGTACATGCACGTAGCCGGGTTACATAGAACTAGGTACATGTATAATTAAAACTTGTCACATAACGAAATCAATAAAATGACAAATATTGGATATGAATACATGTACATGTAATACATGTCAAATAAAGGTAATAATTTTGTATTTTATATAAATAATAACTTATTTACATATTCTATTGTACTTATTTTAAATTTCTTGAAAGTAGTATAACGAAGATTGACATCGTCCACGATGCAAAAGTGACATTCAATTCTGAAGAATTTCTTCAAAATGAACTATAGGATAAGTTATAATAAAATCTGTTGAATCCCTAACAATACAAGTTTAACAATGAACCTAATAATGAAATCAATACTGCTTTTAGGTGTTTCAGCTAAGAAAATTAAGATAACGTAATCAAACCAATTTTTTGTCACTACTGAATTACTGAAAACAGAAAAAATTACATATTAGTTTTAATAAGTAATATTCTTTAATGATAAGAAAAGGGTTAATGTAATGATGGGCTATGTATATGCATGTCCTTATATCTTTCTAGCTTTTAAACTCAAAAGATATATTCCATTCCATTGAAACTCTAGAAGATCTTCTACAAGGTTTAGAATTGAAAACTTGTCAATTTTACAGACTGTTTGCGACAGATAGCTCCTTAATCAATGGTGTAGAGAAGAAAATGGTGAGAAACAAAAAAATGCTGTATATGGACTTCAAATGTTTGCTTTAAAATGAAATAAGACCAGTGAAATCCTTCGTAACGAGAAGAAATATGAAATATATGGAGATAACGAACAGTATTCAAGCTCAAAAGTCTATTTAACAATACAAAATCGGAACAGAGCAAACAAGGACCTAAAAAAAAATCAGAGATTGGGTCAGGTCGATCGCATCATCTTGGGTCTTTCCGTCAGAGGTCGGAAAAACATTACCGGATGTCAAAAATTTATACATTTCCTGTTTATTCAAATATAGGATAAACGGAGTTAGAAGTCCCTTCTATGATATATTTTAGGTAATATCATTACATTGAATAAAGTTAAACTCCATATTCCACAGATAAAAGGTCTCCATGCATTTATGTCAAAGATCCTGAAAAGGGAGGGTTGTCATGGCGTCTACAATATACATTCGAGGTCGTTTTTCCGCTAGTCGGGAAGGCCCGAGAAGTTGCGATTGTGGGTCAGGTGCCACAGGTGGCATAGAATAGTTTTGGATTAAGTATTGGTCAGAAATTGAAAAAAAAAAAGAAACCTAAGATCTGAATGTATATTATAGTTGATTTTTTTACAAGAATATTTTATGTGTGCATTTGGAGGCAACTGGCGGCCTTGTTTATTTCATTAATATATGGCGCTTTCGTGTCACTACTATTCATGGGATATGGACTCTAAAATACGAAGCTAAAATTCAAAATCACTCTTCCGAAATTGCAGAAGAGCGGGATGGGTTCATAGGATGCATTGTAACTTGAAAAAGAGGTGTTTGAGCCATTATTTCTTGGTGTTCACTGGTCTATACATGTATTGATCTGCATTTTGTATGGAAGCCTTGGACATTAGCACGGTCCTAGAAGCAGTTTTGGATCTGTCGAAAAAGTTTAAATATGCTAAATTCTCATGAAATTTTGAGATTATTCCTGTGTCGTCTTTTGGGCTTATTGTGTAAATTGCAAATATTCTATTAAATGTTTGACAAGTATTGTTTAATTTTTACATGTATTGTATATTTTTTTCATTTGTATTGTAAAACTTTTATTTGTATTCTATATTTTTGTTTCATTTGTATTGTAAAAATTTCCGTTCGTATTGTATAATATTTATCTGATTCTATAATTTTCCATTTGTATTGTATAATTTTTATTTGAATTCTATAATTTTCCGATCAATTTGTTATCGAAGAATTTCATTTGCATTGTATAATTTTTATATGTATTCCATAATTTTCCATTTGTATACGATAATTTTTTATTTGTATTGTATTCGAGGGGATGTTAAATTTTTTCGATACAAGGATTTCACTGGTCAATATTTAGCCTACAGGTATCGTGTTGAAAATGAGCGAGATGTCCGGGTGCTCTTGAAAAGCAAATAGGGCTCATCTAATGTATTTGCATACATGTTACAGGAAAGATCCTTTAGATGATAAGGGAAGGCTAATAGATGGCAAATAAATAATCTGTCCTTAGAAATGTTCTCTAAGAATTCAATGCTTATAAGTTCGTAATATATTGTATCTTCTCTTTGTATGACGTTAAAACATGAGCATAAAAATAAGATATTTTTTATCCTATTCGTCAATGCTCTCTACTTTCAACGAGAGCACTTTTGGGATATCCATGTCTGCCGATCATACAAAAAAAAAAATGTTTATTTTAACCTCAGTCAAATTTTTACACATATCTTTTTTATGCGCCCGGATCGATAGATCCAGGGCGTATATTGTTTTTGTCCTGTCTGTTTATCTGTTTTTCTGCTTGTCTGTTTATCTGTCTGTCTGTCTGTTGTCAACTTTAACTTTCGCCATAACTTTTGAACCATGAGAAATAGAGACTTCATATTTAGAATGCTTACTCCACTAATAAAGTTCTTTCAAATGATACCAAGGTCAATGACCCTGTGACCTTGACTGTGACCTTTAAGCTTAAAATATTTTTTTCGATCTTTCGTCATTACCCTTGAACCATAAGTGTCACGGATTATCCGCGGGTTTATGTAACGGACGTTAACGTTATTGTTACGTCACAATACTGTACGTTATGTTTCTATAGTTAATAACAGAGTCAAAAATAAACCACTATACGATCAAGACGCATTTCTGTTCTTTCCACAACAATTTTGGTGCCGTGATCGACGGAATGTTTACATAATACGTAAAATGGAAGGAAGACTAAAAGCCATACGGGCCGGTAACAGATCAGCGGTGACGAAACTTTTCGGACGATTTTTGGACTTGAAAGAAAATACAGCCAGTGAAGTAACGGAGGAAATTGAAATAATCAGGAAGTCTCTAACGCAAAAAAGACAAACTCTACGAGAACTAAATGAACGAATATTAGACGCCTTATCTGAAGAGGACATAGAAGAAGAAATCACAAACACAGATGAGTATATGTACGAATTCGATTGCAAAATTAAGAAAATAGAAAACTTTACAGAAAAGATTTCATGTAAAACTTTGAACGCCAGTGCTGAGTGTTTTGTACCCGCCTTAGAAATTCATGATAGTAACATAAAAACTTCAGCTGCAATCAACTCAAGTGAAACGGCCTGTGAGAATATTTTAAACAATTTTCCTGCCTCTGATCTCGATGAACATAGTAACCACGATTGGCAGAGAAATGTTTTGTCATTAAAATCCAACCAGGTCACAAATAATTATCGACTACCGAAACTAAATCTTCCACATTTTGACGGGGATATACTAGAATGGAATACATTTTGGGATTCATACGAATCAACAATTCACCGCAACCAAACTTTAACACCAATTCAAAAGTTTTCGTATCTCAAGGCTCAATTACGCGACGCAGCAGCACAAACCATTGCAGGATTTACTCTCACAAACGCAAATTATGAAACCGCCATATACCTGCTCAAGGAACGGTTTGGTCAACCGCAAAAAATTATCAATGCACACATGAGAGCACTTATGGAACTGCATGCCCCGAGAAACGACGCCATAAGTTTAAGAAATTATGGAGACTGCTTGGAATCTCATGTCAGGAGTTTAGAGTGTCTAGGACAAAAACAAGAGATGTACGGAGCTTTACTTATTCCAGTCATAATCAACAAACTACCAGCTGAAATCAGGAAAAACATTGCACGTGAATACGATGGTGACAACATTTCACTACACAATCTTCGTAAAGCTATCAGCAAAGAAGTCAAAATCCTTGAATCAGGCCAGATTGAAAACAGCGATGGATTCCACTCAACAGCAATGTTTCTTACCGGAGCCTCAAAGAAACAACGCTATGTTCATAATGGACACAACCAGAAAACAAGAGAGTCAACTCCTTATGTCGAAACAACAGAGATAAAGAACCGCCCATGCATTTATTGTTGCACAGAGAATCACTTTCCTGGGGACTGTAAGAAAGTTACAGAAGTAAGTACAAGATTCGACATCTTAAAACGGAAGAAATTATGTTTCAACTGCTTAGGAAACCACCGCGCCGCAGATTGTAAATCCCGCAACAGATGTAAAAAGTGCCAGAAGAAACACCACACAAGTATATGCGACATGAAACTAACGAGGGACAAAGAAGAGCCCACCAGATCAACAAGTGTCAACATTGTAGAAACGAGCAAGAAGGCAGAAACCACAGTACTGAACGTTGAACATCGACCTACAAACGTTTTATTGAAAACAGCTATCGCCCCGGTGAGTCATGAAAATCAGACAACCGATGCTAATATCTTATTTGACGAAGGATCACGAAGATCGTTCATCACAGAAAAACTCGCCAATGAGTTAGAAATCACTCGAAGAAAATCAGAAGCAATTAAACTATCTACTTTTGGGGGAAATGGAAGTGTCCAGTATCTAGATAGTGCAACTATCAATTTGATAACCGACTCAGGAGAATTGATTGCTATCAATGTTTTGATAGTACCATCTATAGCCAGCCCTCTCACCAGCTACCACTCTTCTGAAGTAAAAAGACTGCCTTACCTTCAAGGACTCAAATTAGCAGATCCGGTTTCAATTGACAGTGAATTTGTGATTTCCTTTCTAATTGGAGCAGATTTTTACTGGAGAATTGTAGAAAATCAAGTCATCCGGGGATCGGGACCAACTGCTGTGAAGTCAAAGATTGGATTTCTACTTTCAGGGCCAACTTCTCAATCATCTTGTACAAACAGTGCCAGGGATCACATCTAAAACGTAATAGCTATGCATACATCAGTAGAACAAGCACTGGAACGCTTCTGGAAATTAGAGAACATTGGAATCACGGATACACCAGATAAGAACGAGTCCAATGATAAAGTCAAGATGTACCAAGATAAATGCATCGAGTTTCGAGACGACAAATACTACGCCAAGTTGCCATGGAAAGATGACCATTCTGAGCTACCGTCGAATTATGGAATTGCACTGAAAAGAACCCAAAGTACTATCAACAGACTAAGTAGCAAACCAGAACTTTTGAAGAAATACAGTGCGATAATTGAAGAACAGGAACGAAAGGGATTTATAGAAAAGGTTCCAGAAGATACAAAAACATCTTCTGTGCTACATTATATTCCACACCACTATGTCAAAAAAGACTCCAGCCCCACACCTATCAGGATAGTGTATGATTGTAGCTGCCGCGAATCACGTGACAAGCCGAGTCTTAATGACTGTTTGGATTCAACGCCACCCATCTTAAATGATTTGACATCAATTCTTACAAGATTTCGATTACACGAATTTGCTGTAACCACCGATATTGAGAAAGCATTTCTACACGTTGGTTTACATGAAAATGACCGAGATGCAACGAGATTCCTTTGGTTAAAGGACCCAAATAATGTCAACAGTTCATTAGTGCCTTACCGTTTCAAGGCAGTGCTCTTTGGAGCCACTTGCTCCCCATTTATTTTAAACGCAACAATTCTGAAGCATCTAGAGAGCAACAACTCTACAAGTGCAGATATTCTGAGGAGAGATCTCTATGTGGACAACGTGATATCCAGTTTTGCAAAGGAAACTGATGCTATTGAGTACTTTCGGGAATCAAGAAAGATCATGATAGATGCAGGAATGAAACTTAGATCATGGGCATCGAACAGTAAGCTACTTCACACAGAAGCCATGAATCATGGATTACACGACTCGGACGAAGTAATAAAATTACTAGGATTACGCTGGGACCCAATGAACGACAAACTGTCATTTGCGAAACGAGAAATACCAAACCTTGAGACCGTTACAAAGAGATTGATACTACAATACTCATCACAAATATACGACCCACTTGGTATCCTGAGCCCAGTAACAGTGAGAGCCAAGCTATTGTTACAGTTACTTTGGAAACAAAAATGTGAATGGGACAGCCCAGTACCAGACGAAATTTGTAAGACTTGGAATTCTCTTGCAAATGATCTGAACATCGCATCATCAGTTCAATTTCCGAGGAAATATTTCAACAAGGTGGACGGTGAAACAACACTACACATCTTTGCAGATGCTAGTACCAAGTCCTATGGAGCCGCTGCTTATATCTGCAATAGAAGCGAATCAAAATTAGTCATGGCCAAAAATAGAATCGCACCACTTAAATCACTCACACTTCCTCAATTAGAATTGATGGCAGCACTAATCGCCGCAAGATTAGGAAATCATCTGCAAAACTCATTACCTGAAATGAATATTGTCTACTGGTCAGACAGCCAAATCGTGTTGCACTGGTTGTCTAGCAAAAAACTGTTGAAAAAATTTGTAGCAAACAGAATATTTGAAATTCGCGAATTATGTAGTGCATTCACATGGAAATACTGTCCAACACATGACAACCCTGCTGATCTGCTGACCCGAGGACTTGATGCAACTTCATTCATGAACAGTACATTATGGAAATATGGACCGTCATGGATTTGCAACAGAGAGGCATGGCCATGTTGGAGCCCACAACCGACCTCGGTACATTCGGTAGTGGACACAGAAGAGGAATGCACGACAACGTCAAACGACTTTACTACTAACCCTGAAAATATTCTGAACATCGTTGACGTATCAAAATTCAGCGATTCCAAAAAACTACTACATGTAGTTGCATTTGTATTGCGATTTGTGAAAAATTGCCGAGTTCACACATCCGACAGAGAATTCAACAGTTTAACATCCGAAGAACTTCACAGAGCTGAAAAGAACTTGATAAAAGGATGTCAAAAGAACGCATTTTCCAATGAAATTATGAAAATGAATTCCAATGGAGCCAAGCCATCTCTTATTAGACAGCTTCGTCTATTTCTTGATACGGATGGATGCATACGCTGTAGAGGTAGGATTTGCTATGCCGAAATAGACAACGAGACGAAGAACCCTTATTTACTACCAAAGAAGGACGCGTTTACACACTTGATCATCAGAGATGCTCATCAGCAGAGTGGCCATTCTAGCACGAATGCAACAGTGTCATACATCCGACAAAAGTTTTGGATACCAGCCATCAGACAAGCTGTAAAATTTGTCACGCGGAATTGTGTGATTTGCAAAATTGTACATGGAAAACACTATTCCTCACCAGAGCTGCCGCCTTTACCCTATTTTCGTACGGAGGAATCAGCGCCATTTACGAGTACAGGCGTAGACTTCACAGGAGCTTTATTCGTCAAGGAACGGAACCGAAGAGAATCTAAAGCTTATATTTGCCTATTTACGTGTGCCAATACAAGAGCAGTTCATCTAGAGACAGTCAGTGATTCATCCGAACAATCATTTTTACGGGCGTTCCGTAGATTTGCAAGCCGAAGATCCGTGCCTAAGCTAATCATCTCGGATAATGCGCCAACTTTCAAGTCTGCAGCGAATTACCTGAAGCAGCTGTTTGAATCTAAAACTCTTAAAGAGGAACTCGCAGATATGGGAGTTAACTGGAAATTCATTCCGAGGGCAGCTCCATGGTATGGAGGCTTTTGGGAGCGACTCATCGGAATTACCAAAACAACACTGAAGAAAATAATCGGCCGTTCATACATCGATTTAGAAACTCTACAAACTGTAGTAACAGAGGTTGAAGCGATAGTTAATGACCGTCCGTTAACATACGTTTCATCGAACCTAGAGGATCCAGAGCCACTTACACCATCACATCTACTGTACGGAAGAAGATTGACTTCCTTACCATACCCGACAGAGGACCAAGAGAATTCAAGCGATTTTCACCCATTGACTTGCCGTCGTCTAAACCAACGTCTGGATAATCAGAGTACTATCTTAAATCACTTTTGGATCCGCTGGAAGAGAGAATATTTAACATCACTCAGAGAGTACCATACAGCAAATGGAAGCAGGTCGCAGAAAATTAAAGTCGGTGATATTGTCCAAATCCATGAGGAGAAACCTCGGATCATGTGGAAACTAGCTGTCGTGGAGGAACTCATACAGGGGAGAGACGGATTCGTTAGAGCTGCCACTTTACGAACCAAAAATGGACTTACCAACAGACCAATTGTGAAACTATATCCAATCGAAGTGAATGAGAACGAACTTAAAAATACTATCTTCTGATCGAGTGTCAAAAACAAACGCCAAAGAAAGAATCCGTGAATGGACCTCTTAATTGAGTGATTATGAACTTGTTTTTATTTTAAATTTCAATGAACTGTTAATTTGATTTGAACTTTTTAATATTCTAGTATAATATTCATTTCGGTGCCCGGAGTGTCACGGATTATCCGCGGGTTTATGTAACGGACGTTAACGTTATTGTTGCGTCACAATACTGTACGTTATGTTTCTATAGTTAATAACAGAGTCAAAAATAAACCACTATACGATCAAGACGCATTTCTGTTCTTTCCACAACAATAAGAGATAGAGATTTCATACTTGGTATGCATACTCCACTAATAAAGTTCTTTAAAATGGCACCAAGGTCAATGACCTTGTGACCTTGACTGTAACCTTTATGATAAAAATAGCTTTTTTCGGACTTTGTTGCCGCCGGGCGCATAGTGTTTCATAAACACATCTTGTTTCAATCTATTTTTTAAAACATATTTATCACAGAGGGAATCAAACAACTTCCTTAACCATACTTGTATTTTTCTTTGCTTATATGGATGTACTTTTATATGCTTATGTTCTAGACAGAACCTAGAACATAAATAGAGAAGCGCTTCACAGTATAAATCTCAAGGGAAACCTAGTTCTGTCATTGCTGAGATCGACATCAAGAGCAAAAACAAACCTTAATATCTTTCCATCAATCAAATTTGATAGTTAAGGCGAATGTTTATCCAATAAAGCATTGTAGCTTTGCAGCATTCTATTGCAATCTGGTAGATTTAAGCTAACTTTGCTAGAATTTTCAGATAAATTGTTTTTGCCGCATAACTTTGTGTCAGAGGAAATAGTACGTTAAGGTATTTTTGTATCTTTGAAAAAGTATTATTGCAGACATTCTTTCTCATGGGAATTTTCTCCGTCATCGACTGTCTGCAGGTTCCTCTAAAGAATTTAAAAGTCTTGCTTATAACTGAATATGCTCAACCTCCAGTACGAAGATCTTCACTTGAAAAAAAAAAATTAAAAGGTATCCTTTTTCAGATATTGTTAAGCAATTCAGCCCAAAACTTCGGCATCTATATATATAGAAAAGCACGCAAATTAGTCGAACAGCCTTAACTATATACGTTCTTAAACCTATGGGACAATAAATAAAAACATAAATTGGTGCAAAGTATCAATTTTTTGTCAAATGACTATGCAAATGATTTCTGCAGACTGCGCTGCACAAGTCGGCGATGGACGACAAGATCATAAATAAATAAATAAATAAATAAGAAATAAATAAGAAAGAAAGAAAGAATTTTGAAATGTTTTATTACACACTTAGTAATAAATACAGTTTTATTTTGCAAATGCGATATGACTGACGTCACAATAGCCGTATCAGCCCTGCAGGGCTGATATGGATTTGCGGGGCTGATAACCTATATCAGCCCTGCTGGGCTGATACGGCTATTGTGACGTCAATATCACATCCTTAGTAAATTAAATCACAAAAACAGTACTTGTGATCATACACAATTTTTGGTGGGTTCATATTCTCTTAAATTTAACCTTTTGAAAATAAGGTTAATCTTAATTTACAAATACATGGAAAAGATTATTTTCAAATTACGGATCGAGTGCATTGAAATAGAAGTAGAAAGAAACCCAAATCGTATGAGACAATAGACCATTTACATGTATATGTAAGAAGTCCATGCATGATTATTTACTTATTTTCTTCTCAACTTAAAGTATGCTGTATTTTATTACCAAGTATGTAATAAACATATTAATACATACCCTTTTCCACATCACATCCCGTATCAGCCCTCGACCAATATCAGCCCTCGGGCCTTCGGCCCTCTGGCTGATATTGGTGTCTTAGGATGATACAGGATGTGATACGGAAAAGGGTATGTATTATTCTCTATGTAACATTCTCAGATGTATCACATTCAAAAGGAATTTTTACTTGTGCTACCGACTTTTCAATTTTTATTCCTTACTTTTTCCCTCATGTCTTACAATCCCATGTTGTGAAGTGAATTTCGATAAGTCATTAATTATCTCTTGAAAATTAATTTAAAAACTTTGAAAAAAAATATTGCAAGAGTTAAGACCTCGGTATAAAGGAAATTTTAGAATATTTAAATCATAAATTTTATATAGATGTTATATAACGACGAATAATATTTTGGAACCAAGAAATAAAGAACTAACGTCTCGTTCACCCATCTGTACTTTCCAACACAACCACAAATGGATCGACGGCTCCTGCAGCAGATAATAAATTAGAAATTATGCTCTTATATACAAAATGCTTCGGCTTGGTCAATAAAAAGAATAAAAAATTATCCAGGTAGGGGTTTTTCGCATCTCTTCAAAATAATAAAACATTGCATTATTTCAATAACCGCGATTAAGTTCAATGATTAAAAGAAAAATCGCATGAACACGCTTTTAAAAAAAAATTGATAACATTTTACTGACCTTTGACAAACACTTTGAAAGTGTTTGCCATGTTGGATGGTGGATTTTTTTTTTATAAAGGACACTACCATGACCAAAATATAACTCCTTTTTTTTGTCAAATGTTTCATCTAGTTGAGTTCAGGTTCCATATACCAGCATCAAAGTAGTAAAATAATAGGTAATGAGAGTATTATCATGCATCTGCCATCAATCTGTTTTCAGCAAAATGTGAATAATGATACAGATTCAAAATGCAAAAGTAAGTTAAAGTAAAAGTAAAGTCTTCATTGCACATTATTATTCAATGCAACATCAATTTATTAGTAACATTCCACTTTTATCTACATATGGTGTTTATGTCTCTTAACTGAATCATGTGCAAAAGCATGCTCTGAATTAAGATCTATTTTCAAACCGAGGTAAGCTACTAATGCTACATGGTTTTCACAGGCATCTGACGTTAATTATTTTTCTTTTTAAAAAAGATATACCCCATACCTGACAATATATGGTGTATTATTAGGTGGGGGTATATTTTTATTTATACAAGCGAAATAAGTATAATGCCAGGAGCCTGTGATAGTTTTCTATAATCTCGTATTCAAATCAGCATTTTCAAAATCTCATGTTCGTTATAATGGCCTTTGATATAGCTTATCACTAGCTGGCAAGTATTTTGACTGACATGTCATATATTACGTGACTTTTCATTTCACAGCTTACTTCAAAATGAAGGTCCAACGGTGAATGGGTATGCTTACTTCATCTTAGCCTGGTTCCCTGTCCCTATTTTGCTTCATAAACTCCTCGTCACTAGCCTTGGCAAGGATAATACAAAGGACCAGACTAACTTCATCTAAACACCTGTTTCAGGCTCAGTGGTGTTTCAAGCCTCTGGGGATCTGTGTTTTATACCTTTCGCCATTTTGCAAGTTTTGTGAGAGTGATCCATGTACAACATTTTCAACTTCTACATTGTATTGAAATAATCAACACCCCTGGTAAAGAAATGAGCATTAAAAGAAAGGGAAACGAATTAGAAGCATTCCAACCAGTTCGATGGTTTTCTCTTTTAATTAGCTGCGAACTGTTGATTATATTAGTGCAAAGGTAAAAACAAATAATAATAACTATCAAGAAAAATTTTATGATGACCATAACGAAAATTTCTCGAGTTTAATTGTCGGGACCTAGTTGCTCTTACTGTTTTTCCGAATTTGGTTTTAACTATAGATGTATGTTATGTGCTATCTACGTTTTTGATACTTGCATTCCACGATTTTAAAATGACCCCATTTAGCAATGAACATCACACAGCTGGCAATATTCACCAGTATTTGCCAAAACAGTCTACTGAGAAGTGAGTACTTATACTCATGGTGACAAAAAATGCGTGTATCTTGGATTTCATACTTCTCGGTGATAGGGTTTACATGTTCCAAATAATATGGAAATTGTTCATACAGATACTTGTATGAATCGGGGGAACAGGGATTTACTTACAAAAAAATGATTTAAAGAATGGGAATGTGTCATACCGATTCAACGTTGATAAAATCTGCAAAGCCATGATTGCTACTGATGCTAAAGGAATTGCCGCAATGAAACGAAAAATACTCACAACCACCTCAGTAAATTGAGTAAGAAGATCATACCGCTTAAAATCCTACTTCCAACTCCCCGTGATACGTAGGAGGCAACATCGGGTTTCGCGAGGCTAACGGAAGGGGTACGAAAAAATATGTGGAAAAGCTAAGAATTACGGAAAAGCAGTATAACTTGTCACGGAAAAGCAGTGCCGAATCGGGGAAAAATGAAACCGTGGGGAAAAAAATTGAAATTAACCGAACATACTAGTAACTGGAACTAAACGCCTTTCATTAAGATAATGAAATTGATATTCAATTTAAATAGTATCTACCTCAGCACTTCATTATATAAAAAACATCATTTAATTTTCAGTGACTAGTACTCTGACTCCATAATATCTACGTAGGATAAGCAAAGCTAGCGGTACTGTAAGGTACTCATTTAGAGAGCATGAAAATGAAAAAATCATGAGCATGAGAGAGACCGTAAAAATCAGAGTTAATGAAAAAAAAATCATATAAATGAATTTATTTTCTAGTGAATGAATATCTCTTCTCTATTGTACCTTCTTATATTCAGCATTCTATATTCAGCATTCTGGTAGATTTGATTGATTGTTCTCATTGTATAATTATTTGTATAAACAATAATGTAGCAGTATATATATGTCTAGTAATCTATTTTGTACAAACTGTTGAACACTTCTAATTCATCCTGTTATAATATTTCATGTAGGGAGAGGGCGATTTTTAAATTTTTAGAACTTGTGCCCAATCCCATTGTATATATTTAGTGCAATAGAATATGTTCAAATCAAAATTTTCTAGTAAAAAATCTAATTTTTAACAAGAAAAAAAATTAAATTAAATGTTGAATATAACTTAACGAAAAGTACAATCTTGCAGTATTTTCTTAACCAATTTCACAAAATATGGCTGAAAAGATATAAGTAAACGTAATTCAGAATCATCTATTCTTTGTCATTTTTTTCTTTTACACTTTAACTTGACAAAGTTTGGAAATAATTTATCTACATTGTTAATCAGCTCCAATTCAAACATACACTCACTTTCACATGCCTCGACTAGTACGTACGAGATAAGGATCGGTAACTACAGTGCAAAAGTATTTCTAAACTGGTAATCACCGGTATTTAGACTACATATATAGTACCTGTCCATTTATCAATCTGGGTCGTTCTGGTTCTAGGGACAAGGTCAGACAAGTTCTTCCGAACTGAAGAAGGTATGGTAAATATTTCATGCAAATGAATTTAATAATATCATTTCTTTAATCACAGTCAAATCATTACTTTTTATTAAAAATATTTTTGACCCTGATATAGAAATACAACTTTTCTATGCAACGATCAGTAAAAATTATGCTTAATTGTAAGAATTCCGGTATCGAATAATCGATTCATATAATATAGAATCATCGGAGTTTCTATGTGGACATGAAACTGAAAATGAAGAACGATATGGATACCATTTTAGTGCATGTTTATACTTACGTGATTTTACTACACACAGAACTAAAATAAGCTTCATGCTTATGCATGTTATGCCTACCTGACAATTCAAGTCTCTGTTATGAACAAACTCATAGCATATTCCCAAATCTATTAAGTCTTAAGGTAACAGTAGCTGTGTGGCTATAATACATGCAGTGAGCGTAGGCACCAATATGTACGCGTACACTTTTATTGATATTGGTAACAATATGCACGCTGAGACTTTCAGAGAGTATGTGCATTCTGTTACCTACGAGACTATAATGCACCGCCTAAATCCTTACTGATCAGCAGCTTGTAGTTTAACTATATCATACCTCATAAACTGTAACATTGTAATTGATAAACATCCTATGCTGAAAAAGTTGAAGATAATAATACAGAGGATGATTTATTTATATACTTATACATTTTCATGACTATTATTTGTGAAATGATTTTATTATACACTCAATAATAATTATTACTTTAAATTAATTTGATCTTTAGTTAACGTTTGTTGCAACATCAATGAGAAATACATGGACACACAAGATGAACAGTTCATCAGAATTATGGGCACAAGTGTAAAATTGTTTTGCATCATTTGTGTCTAAATAAAATTCAAAATCCTAAAAAAAACTTCTTAAAGTGTCAAATTTCTTTTCCTCTACAGGCTACATCATGTTTGTGTCTTTTTTGCTGTTGTTGACTGCAGCTTGCATCGAAGGTAAGTCAAAGACCAAATATATGAAAATACAAAATATATAATAGAGTTCTTACTTTCAGAAAATCACACGTAGGTAAAAACTGTATCAAAAAATACCTTATATTTTTTTTTGGAATTTTTACATGAAAACTACTTAAAGGCAAAATAGCATGGAAACCAGTCCAGATTGATAACCAGATCAAAGATCAATTTCCCTATAAGTAAATTCTGTATAGCTATCCACGTACATTGTACGTGCAGGAAGCAAAGACTTTAGGCATGACTTTGTTAAGATTATCAAGGAATACTTTGAGAGATGAAAATTTAAAAGAAACCCCTTCATGTGTTTTCCTTATTTGAATATTTATTTGGTATTTATTTGTTCGACCCTCGATCGTACCTTTCATTACTGAAGCGGTCAAATTCACACTGTTGGTAAAAAGTAGTCAAAAGCCGTTTCTACTTTGCCTTTTGGGGGAATGTAAGTTTTTACGCAAAGTAAATGTTGATTAACAATTTGATCAGAAAAAAAAATCTTAGCAGTTAATTATCAATTCGGTTAGTTGTTGGTCATCATTTCGGTTAGTAGTTAATTATCATTCCGCTTAGTTAGTTGATTATCATTTCGGTTAGTAGTTAATTATCATTTAATTCTTTTATTCCTTGTATCAACAGATACATCAGATTAACAAAAATACATACAATATACATAATTGCAATGTAAACATATATTACAATGTATTTACACAAGCATTGATAAATGTACATATCTAAACATACATATTATAATTGTACTACATGTATCATAATAGTAATTCAATATTACTCATTATTATAATAAATTTATTTTACTTTCTTGTAACTGACACGCTTCTCTTAAAAAATTCCCCAGACCTCTTAATTAATGCATTTCAGCTCGGCTTTACATTCAGGGCGACCACTTTTACTATAATGGTCAGAGAGTATTCTTCAGTGGAGTTAACCAGGCGTGGGTATCTTATGGTTATGACTGGGGAAATAACCAATACCAGTACCGACGGAATAAGTTCCAGTCTGTCATCAATGCAGTCAAGAACAATGGTGGAAACTCAATCCGTAAGCTACTCAGAATCTTTGTTTCTAGAGATTTTGATTGATCATTTCAACGTATGATTCCAGAGGTCAGTCTCTCTTATGTTTTTCCTTTTGCTGTAGGAATGGTACAAAAGTAAAATTACTTTTCTTTTCTTTTTATTGAATTCTTATAATTATTCTTATAGAAATTCTGATTTAATTCTCAAATGATCAAACCAATACCTTTAGCAAAACACTGATATCGTAACCATCGTAAACGTACTCCTCTTATTCATGAGGTAATTTCCCTGGGGTTTTTTGTTGTTGTTGTTTTTTGTTTGTTTTTTTCAAAAAAAGCAAAAGTAAACGTAACCATCTGTTATCCTTCAAGGTTTTGTTTCTTCAGGTGTTTGGGTTCACGTAGAAGGACAGACGTCTCCGGCATTTGACCACACTGGTCACGTGAGTGGAACAGACTCCAGAAATTCCTTGATCCACGAACTGACAGAGTATTTGCAGTACGCGAGGAACCATCAAATCTTTGTCTTCCTCTGCTTGTGGAATGGTGCAGAAAGAGGCAGCACAAATGCCAGACTGGAAGGTATAGTTTTTATCCCCTTGCCTTAAATGTTGGGAATAGTTAGAATCAGATAACCTTATTCGAGAATCAACGTGTAATTGCATACAATGTATATCGTAACTCAGAGGATAACAATGAATCAAAGGCTGTAGAATCCATTAAAAAGCTGATCATGTTTCTCTGTATGTGCTTTGTGCAATTTCTGGAAATCTTCTCTACCTGGGACCTGGTTAACTTTAACACAGTGTTATCCTTAGCATCGTGTTAAAACACACAACTTAATTTTGATCCAAACCCCTATTATTCGAAAAATAGAGATAGACTGATAGACATTTTTATCTAGCATTACTTATAGTTTTTTCCTGGTGTATTTATAAGTATAGAAACATTATACATGTGAAAATCAGGAATGGTAAAATGCCCGATGTAAATAAACCAGTACATATTCATATAAAAGATTTTTTTCAATTTTATGAGAAAAAATGAAGATAACGAACAACAATCGACCTTAGGAAAACTAATAAAAACCGTTTCTATGAACAGGAAAAAACACGGACCCCTGGAAATTTCAGGGGTGGGATCACTGAGGTGCCTAAGAGGAATAAGTGTTTCCTGTTGACCGTTCACACCAACCTTGAGCACTATGTATTAGTGAGGTAGACGCAACATTCCGTAGTCAAATTCGGTACAAAAAAGCAGAGACCCCACAATTAGTATCAGCCAAAATAGGAAACAGTGATAACCTTAGAGACTGTATTAGTTAAAAAGTTCATTATAACGTCTAGTGAATGAGGTTTAAAATCCTTGTAACATCAGCTGTATGATTGGATTCCCTCAGTTTAAAAATTGCACTCAATACTAGCGAATAAGATGGAGGACATCAACACAGTATGCAGGTGTGATAGTGGAACATTTACTACAGAAATAAGAAAAGTTGACGATGGAAAAGCTGAAGTCACCTCATTTGTCATACATTTAAGTGATAAGTTAACTTTTTGTCATCTATAGTCTGAAAAACATCCAAACATACGAGGGCTATTCAATAATTAATGTCCTCGGTGCTTGGAAAGAAACAAAAAAAAAAGCTTTTCAATGATTTAGCCTTAATGATTTCATTTAGATATTTTTTCTTAACTAAAATACATGTCCGTTACATTTTTATCCACTTTCTGATTGTTTATAGAACACATTCTTCAGTATGGCCCTTTTAATACTGGAATATGGCAGATCCTATGATTTCCTGGACTTGTTTCTTCTTTCTGAAAGGTGTTTGTTCAAGTTTGGAAAATGCAACAAGTCAAAGGGTGAAAGATCTGGCGAATATTGTTGGTGTAACAAAATATTAACTATCTCTTTATCACCAAAACTCCTTTACTTTTCATGGCGTGTGGGTCTGGACGCTGTCATGAAGAAATTTGATGTAGTTGATTTCTGGTTCTAGTTCTATCCTATCATAAATCTTTTGATTTTTTCACAAAAATTTGCTTTCTAGACTTCTCCAGAAATTGAACTACCTCCTCGAATAAGACTTTGAACAACAGGACCACTAATATTTAAGAAAGTGGCATATAAAACTGTTTTTGTGCTTTTGGAATCGTTTGCTCTTCTCAGACCTTGGCTGTTTTTGTCATGTGCATCTTATTGTAAATTTGTTCTGCGGGTTTAAAGCAACTGATTCAAGTTTCATTATCTGTTTGAATGTCAGAAACACATGGATAACTAAAATTTTTGATTTTTTTTTTAAATAATTGTTTATATATTCTTACACGCTGTCGTTTTCACTCATTGTTCAAAAAATAGGATGACTGTTGAGTTCTAAGATTTGTTTTTACTGTCAAATGTTTCTTTAAAACAGCGTAAACTTTCCCCCAAATGATGCCTATCAATTTTGCTAGGTGTCTTAAAGTCAATCAAACACCATCAGAAATAATTTTTTGAATTTTGGCAAACTGTACATTGGTTGTTGTAAGTCCTTGTCGCCAAGGACGATACCCATTTTTGAAGCCAATTATATAATTTTTGTTCTTTGAAATCCACTGCTCATGTGTCTATAAAACAGACCTTGGTTGCTGTAAATTTCACATATTTCAGTGAATATTCCTTGGGATTTTTAATGAGTTTACAGCAGCTTTAATGAAGCGTTTAATTTCACTCTAGTTGAATGATTCTTTACTATTTAAGAAATAAATAACAAGTTTATAAACTTCAATGGGAATTGAATTTCACGTGATCAAATCCTGTGAAGGCCGAAGGCCTTCTCAGAGGATTTGATCACGTACCGACCCACTTCAATCCCCATTGAAGTTTAAATAAACTTGTTATTTATTTCTTATATATACATTTGAGACAGACAATTGAATATTTTCAAATTTAATTATTGCACTAACCGTCCGTCGTAGATTTTGAAATATGACGCAGGTGTAAATCGGCTTGCATGGCGGTTACGCTTCGAATTCATAAGGCTAAGGAATCTGTTTCGAAGGGAATATTTTGTGAAAGGCTACTTGTGATCAGTAATAGTGAACAGATTGTTGTCTGGGAATATTTTTATTCGTCGATGCTGAAAAGACACAAGAAACACATCCGAAGTTTGATGATAAAAAGTTGGAGGAATTTCGGTCGCCGGAAAGGGATGGATGGATCCGATGGATTGAGACACTTGTCCGAGCCAGTTAATTTGCAATTGATCAAAAACATTCTACGATTTCAGTAACTAAAGGCATACTTATTGTAAAACACTGATAAACACGGAGACACTGGCGACAGCTTTACCATGTTTATATTGAACTACGAAAACACTGAGGTGTTTGGCAGCTGTTCATGGCATGACTGCAATGATATTTTCCAACAGATTTACACATTTATCGTGAGTAGAATTTAGAGATAAAATAATTGTTTATCATGAAAATTTAACGAAAGGTCTACCCAAAAAATAAGGATGAACGTTAAAGACTGTGCAGCTGACAAAATTGAAAAAAAATGTAAACAAACGCTAGGCCTAGGCCCCTAACGTGTTAGTTTTCTCTATGTACACAGGTTGAATCGATAGCCAACAACCTGAAATACTTTTTTACAATGTAAATAAAATAGTTATCATTTTACTTGCTTAAATTTTGTTCATTTTTGTACATGAAAAGCAAGTAGAGCAGGCCATTTTATAATTTATGTACTGGTAAATATTATTGCGCCGTGTGATTAGGTCACGTATTGACCTCTGACCTCTGACAAACTTCATTTAAGAAATAAGGTATCATTTTTAAACATTTGTGACTAATTCATACTTTATATTTGCATAATTGTGACTTTTAACGTGTGAAATGCATTATTTTTCAAACCCAACGGCATGTATGTAATTCACTGAACGCGCGTCGACCCTTTATGACGTCACTGAGAAATTACGTCAAACGATTATCCAAACGCACATCAATGACCTCTTGACCCCATACCTGTATTTATACAGTTATAGATACGCATTCCTTTCAGTAGTGTTATATAAAGGAAAACATTTGCAAATGTAAATATATAGAATTGAAGATATTTTCTCTCTGTATGTTTATATAATAGAGAGATACCACAAATGTATATATTCATTTTTAATGCAGTGTCTCGAATAGCCCTTGTTTTTTAGCTTCTCACAATGAAACTATGTGATGAAATGTGGTCACATAAGCTGTTATCAATTCATCAAAGATTCAATCATGAGAGAAAGTCTAGCTTAACGTCATATGATATCTATGTTGTATGTCATAGAGCTCAGGGGCTCGTAACATAAAGCTTGCTAAGTTTTTGACTTAAGTAGGGTCATAAGTACGTTTTAGGCACAATCTTAGGACCTGCCTAAGTACTACTTTTAAAAGTATGTCTTAAACCGTAACATAAAGCGAACTTAGGAAGGTCTTAGCTAAGTCAAACTTATGTTCAAAATATTTCTTATGAATAACCCCATATTTTTTCTCTTTATTCAGATATATTGCTACAAAATGATTCCGTTACGCTTTAATTAAATATATATAAAGGTTAACGTCCTTACCTATCGTTTTAGTTATGTTAGTTTAGATTTTGTATCTTAAAAAGATATATTTTAATTTGTTATATAATACACTGCATATTTGATTAAGAAAAAATACTATTATTTGTGGTTCAATATGTATGAAGACTGCGATGTTTTCAGTTACCGTTTATTATTCTTTTGTTTTGACAAATGTTCACTTGCTTTGTTATTCTCGTAGACATGACAACATAACCGACCGTCTGTCTATGTCTCAGTCCATGTCAGCAAGCAAAGACTGCAGTAGTTATACTTATTTACAATTTCATCGAGAGTGGAAATTCTTTCATTTCTCTCTCTCTCTCTCTCTCTCTCTCTCTCTCTCTCTCTCTCTCTCTCTCTCTCTCTTAGCTCTGAATGTCTAGGAAACCCTGTCTAAATACGCGCTTGTCGTTCTACATTTATTTTAATTTACGGACACTCTTCTTTATTAGTTTTTTTTTGGTCATCATCCTCTTACTCCACAACATTTTTCTGTGTTTAAAAATCTATTTCATCTCATATTTTCAAAGTCAACATACAGATCCATGAATTAGACTATAACTGTACGTGTTCAATTTAATTATAATGATTAGTGAATTAGTGTATATACCGATCTGGGTAGGTCCCACTAATTTCAGACGTATCCCCCAAATTAAATTTTGCATTTACACGTACGGTGTCTTGAGAGTAATAGTGGAATCATTGATCAGTAACCCCCCCCCCCAACCCCGACGAAAAAAAATCTCATAATAGTATTTAATAGGAATAATTATTTTCTTTAATGCATAATGTAAATACTGTAAATCACTTTTTATTCGCGAAACTTTGCGTAATTACGCCAACAAAATTTTGTATAATAGTATTCCTTAAGATTATATAGAGAAATATTAACAATTTGTGAAAATTGATCTTCGCTTATAAAGAGTCAATGACTATCTCGCGAAAATAAGATGTCGCTAAAATATAGTGATCTACAGTAGAAGAATGCTTTAACACCGAAAGTCAGCATAAAATAGTTCTGAATAGACGTATAAGAAAGTTAAGATATACTTAACACCTCTTCCGACCGCCTAAGTTTTGCTAAGATTGTCAAATCTTAGCATGCTTATTACGGTCTTAAGTTTTAGACTGTACCTCAGCACGGTCTTAGACTTAAGTAGCCTTTATGTTACGACCCCCAGGACATTATTTAATGAACAGCCCTCGTAAATAGATTTAGCAGACTGCTGTACGTGTCTTTTATTACAAGTTCACTGGGATAAATAAGTCGACATATGAATGGAAAGAACTACTACAGTATTTTTAATTGATAAAACGTCGTCAATATTTCTGAATGTCGATATGAGGGACATTGCAATGTTTCTGTAAAAGTTTCTGAATAAATTCTGCACCATGAGAATACAAACAAAGGTCTGTATATAAAGAAGCACAATTAGTGCCTATAATTTGGATTCCAACATTTTGTTGGAAGACCTGGTCCCCAAAGACGAAATAAATGTTATAAATGAGGAACTCATTCTTTTATAAATGAAATTATCAAAAGTGCTTATTTGTAGAATCTTTTAACAATTTAATGACCGATCACAAGATGTTAAAAAAATCGAGTTCCATTTTTTATTGAAGAAGCATTGTCTATGAAATTAAAAATCTTTTCAATTTATATTAAGGAATAGTAATTTAAATTGTTTTTAAAGGATTAATAAAGGACACAGGAAAACTCCACAGCTATATCAATCATGCTCTCATCCCAATGGTGAAGGCTCTAAAAGACCAACCTGCACTAGCTGGCTGGGATATAATGAATGAGATGGAAGGCGTCATCAATCCTAACTTACACAATTCTGAGCCATGCTTCGATACCACCTTCTTAGGTCCCTCTGGAGCAGGATGGAAAGGTCACATATACTCAGCAGAACAACTTCTAAGGTAGGAGTTATTTTATCTTTATTTATCATGGGGTTTAATTTTCTTGGGTTCTCCGTGACTTACGATATATGCCTGACCGGAGTAGTTATATTTGCGACACCTTTGAGCATTTACTTTACCAAAAAACAAATCATTTTCTATAAAATTTTTGAAATCCACTTTATTGTCCCTATGAAAAATGTGAGGATAACGAATAATAATCGATCTCATAAAATCTATAAACAATACAATTCTGCGAAGAGGGCATAAAACGTGGAGTCCTGGACCATTTCAGAGGTGGGATCCGGTGCCTAGAAGGAGTGAGCATCCCCGACAAATAGCCAACAGTTTATTGATCACAGAGAATCCAGATAATGGTTTGATATACTAGGATACACTTTCATTCCTTCACGACGACACACGAATAAATCTTAAAATCATTTATATATAGACGAAATTACTTTAAAATTTCTATTTCATATTCTGTCTTGATCGCCTTTTAAGAAATCTCTAATAATATGAATTCATTAGAATCATTTTTGTAGATTTATAAACTGGCAAGCTGCTGCTATACGTAAGACAGACCCACAAGCTTTGGTGACGGCTGGGTCCTGGAACCCAAAAAGCAACACAAACATGAATGGCATGAAAAACCTGTATAGTGACCACTGCCTCATCAGAGCCGGACATGACAATGCCGTAAATACAGAATCTTTAGAAATTTTATCGACAAACTTCTAAATTTAGCTGCTCCAGCAGGATATATCTTCAACATTTTTTTTTACGCAAGACTTTGGAATATACTGTAAACCAGCAATTATTAGCGCCATCTTTTATTCGCGATTCGTCAGTTTGAAATCAATTCAAGACGATTAATTTTTGCGACCGAGGAAACATTCTCTACAAATACTTCTCAAAATTTTTGATTCACGGCGATTAATATTCGCGAATAAAAGTAGGTCCCGAAAATCGCGAACATTTCTCGCGCGCGAATAAAAATTGGTTTAGGCTACAGTATTTCATTGTACAGAAAATTAAGTAATTTAAATTCTAATTAACTTCTTTATCTACAGGGTACTTTGAATTTTTATTCCACACATACGTACGACAACAAAAATTCTCATCAATATGACTCTTACTCGCCCTTTAAGGTAAGTTTATTTATGTGTATAATTTTTTTTAATCTTTTCAAATATTGGATTTCAGCTTATTGAAAACTAAACCATGCCTTTTCTACACTAAAATCTGAAAACATTGCAGTTTTGATTTTTTTTCCATTTAAGCACACTAAACATCAGTACAATCTAAATAAACCTTTGATAATCGCCGAATTTAACCAAGTGCGAGGAGGACATCAAACTATTGAACAGTTGTTTACATACGCATATTACCATGGTTACGCTGGAGCATGGTCATGGCACGCAAACGCAGACGGAAGCGACACAGACAGCCTAGCAACACAAGAAGCGGGAATGAGGTCTCTAAGGGGGAAAAATGACCAGAGAAATGGCGGACTAGTCAACTTCACTATTTAAATAATCTATGGTATTATGTAAAAAAAATAAATGAAGATCTGTTCAAACAATGCTGCTTTATTTTCATAAAATTTTGTAGTCTTTATCAACATGGGCACGATTAGGTTATCGTTTGTCAAAGAAGATGACTTTGTACCTGTGTAATTCAATCAGAACAATGATAAAATAGAAACACGTTTCTACAAAGGAGGATGATACACCCACTGACTGAAATAAAGGGTTTTGTTTGTAAAATTCCATTAAATTTACTGTCAAGAGTATTAACGATCCTCATGGCAAATTCTAAAGTAGCTGATGTAGACAAGTATACAAGACAAGATAAGCAATAATATTCAATACCAAAGAACATTATCCATTTCTGAAAGTCTTTCAAAGCTGGTGCTGCATGCAGGATGTATATGAATGACGTAAACTGTTTTCTGACAAAAATGCATTTGAATGCCTTTGGTTGCTCTTTTCCCCTTCTCCATCAAATGATCACAGTAAGTTCCATATTGTGCAGAAAAGAAGAGTAAGCAATGGTAGAAAATGAAGATAGCTTGTGGTCAGTTCTGAAAATAAGCATTGAAGAAGCACATTTATTTTTCGTTGTGATTAACCATCCCTTTACAGACTTTTATTCTTATATTCAGGAGTTTTAAAGTTAATTTTGTCTGTCATTCCTCACAAGTATTAAACTTTAAAATACTTCTACTTTTGCAATTTTACAAATCAAGGATTAATTTTACCAGCAGCGTCGTTGTGACAGTCGGTTGCATTAAATGAACAGCTTGCCCACGTGGCTGATTCGTCACTTCCGTCGTCACAGTCGGATTGACAGTCACACTTCATTGACATCTGGATACAAGTCATACCTCCAGATTCACACGTAAACCACCCAGTTGGACATGTCTACATATAATAAGTCATGAACTAAAATTAGAACAGCAAAAAATTACTTACCCGGATGTCGCAATATATGCGCACATAACACTTTCAAATCTTTATGTTACTTATGATGTTCAAACTGAATTTAAAAAAAACTAAGTTGATTAACATAAAAAAATATTAAACTGACTTGAACATAAGTGCCCTGGGCGACAGTTGGACACGCTGTGGGATTACAGGCCTGGAACTCCGTTGGGTCTCCTGGACACATCTTGCCTCCGTTACTTGGGACTGGGTTGTTACAGTCTCTATTTCTGGTTCTGGTACCTGATCCACAGGACTTGGTGCAGGGACTCCACACAGTCCATGAGCTCCATCCGCCATCCTCTATGTTAATAACACAATATTCTGATTTATCAACAGTCTCTTTAAAAGTCAAAATTTCGCACATCCTATGGTCCATGTAATGAATTTGTCAGCAAATACAATTTTCAACGAATTCGATTGTTACCTGATGTTTTTCACACAACTCACGTACCGGCTATTTGAATATTCAGAAAAGATTTCGTAAAAAGGAGAGGAAAATTTCTTACTTGCACAGCTCCCCGTGCATGCTTGTGTTTCTTTGGTGTCTCCAAGACACGTTTTTCCTCCATATTGAGGTTGTGGGTTTGTGCAGGTGCGAGTTCGTTCTGACTGCCCAGCGCCACATACATACAAACAACTGGAAAAAGCCGTCCAGGGTGTCCAGCTTCCATCAACTAAGGTAAAATATCATAATTCTTTCAACTTATAGTTCAAACTAACAATCAATTGATCTTTAATGTGTACAAGATGTTACCAAAACATTTTAGTTATTGGTCAAAAAGTTGTCTAGTTTCAAACATTCCCTACCCGGACAGTTGTGGGTGTTACAGGATTGAGACATCGTTCCATCCCCGGAACAGGAAGTGCCGCCATTAGCTGGGGATGGATCTGTACACGTCCTTGTTCGGCTCTGTGTTCCAGTCCCACAAGTCACGGGGCAGGAAGCCCAGGAACCCCATAGGGCCCAATTTCCATTTACTAATGGAAAAAAGCTTCAGTTTTAATAATGAAATTCTCATTTAAAATGATGCTCAAAAAATGCAAAATCCTACCAAAATTTTGAGAGACCCCACAACAAATGTTACTTACAAACACATCCGCTTTGTGGAGAACATGTTGTGTCGGTTTCCACATCCGCTCCTGGGCAAACTTTTCCGTCATATTGTGGAGCCGGATTATCACATTTGCGCCTGCGTGTACGTGATCCTTGTCCTCCACCCGTGCACGCACATGGACCCCACGCCTCCCACGACGTCCATACACCATCAACTAAAAATGGACATATTTATTAATGCAATATAAAAACGTGTCACTCTTCAGTTACTTGGATCCAATCAATGTATGTTTAACTCACTTGGATACGGCTTAGCACAATCTTCTTCTGCCGACCCATCTCCGTCGTCATCTGATGTCAAAATTAATTCACTTGTTAACAGTAAGACGATGTCAAAATAATAATTTAATTCACTTGTTTTAAACAGGTAGGTAGAACAAAATAAAACCGCTGAATAAAAACCAGCTTGTATTTTAGAAAACTCAGGTTGCTGATCAACCAAAAAAACTTTATATGGCAAGTAATATATAGTTAAAAGTACTCGTCCAGAATAAACGTTGCCCCAACTGCCCTCCTTTTTCAAAACAAGAGATCCATGGGCCACAACACTCACCTAAATTACATAATCCCCTGCTTTCCTTCACCAGATATCCCCTTGTAATACTTATTGTAGCTACACTCTAACCCTGGTTACATAATCCCCTGCTTTCCTTCACCAGATATCCCCTTGTAATACTTATTGTAGCTACACTCTACCCCTGGGGTCAGACTTTGAACAATTTAAAATCTACCGGTACATTTCCCCCAGAATGTTTCCATGTAAGTTTCGGCTTTTCTGGCCCAATACATAGCTCTTGAAAATAACCCTATTAAAGATTCTACCTACATATTTCAATGTAAAACTTCGATTTCCTATTATGCCCCAACCCTATATTTTTGGTGTAATATATATAGTTTTGCATATTTCTGGAGATTTCATTTAAGGGGGCAGAAACATGCCTTTAATGTATTTGAAATCGTTGTGAAGAACTTTTTACCAGCATAGTTATTGGCCAGAGTACACATTTCTTCGTCTATTTTCCCGTCACAGTCATTATCTATTCCATCCCCAACAACCATTGTTGTCATCGTGCATGGCTATAAATAGAAATATATTTTCAAAACACTTCTTTAAAAAGTGAATACAACGTACGTTCAAGTAAATCAATTGCTAATAAAGCGTGAACAAAAAATGGTCCCCAATTGCAAAAAAATTAATAGTAGCTATTTCCTCAGAATAAATGAATGTTGCATGAATCCTGAGATGAAAACTATTCATATCTAATATGTTGCTCACCGCGTTAATGGATGCCATTCTCATTCCCGTGGGAAACCCATAGGATTCATACTGGGCTCGCCCGTACAACACTCCCATAAACACAATATTTGGCGAAATGTGACGAATTTCGTGAGTCCCTTCCGTCAAGGATATATATCCTCCTACGTAACCCCCTCCAGGGTAATTGTTGTAGGTTGGTGATACCGCAGAACCATCCACCCGAATCCCCGATTTTTCCGACGCCTTAACTACGAACATGAAATAATTCGTATACGACCCAGTTGATTTTTTCGGAGTCGTGAAGACGTAATCCGATGCATACTGTTCAATAGGTGGAATGATAATCATTGCTGGATCCGCCACGTTACAGGAAGAACAAGCCTGACTTTTAGAGAACTGCATTACGTATATTGGCTTTGTTGCAGTGATTAAGGAATAAAACTTGGAACTGTACTCCTTTTGCACCCAAGAACTTGCTGTGGACAGCGTGAAGGTTTCTGTAAAGGAAGCGCCATTATTCAAACCGTTGACAGTGACTCTGGTATCATATTCACTGGCCACAAATCGGAAATAGTCGCCAATGGTTCGACCAGGAATGGGTACAGTGGCAAATGTCTTCCCCCATTTTTCCACTGGCACATGTTGTTCAACAATATGGTCTTGTGTTCCAGTGGCAATATTTGTTAGAATGTTTCCACTAAAAACGGAAATGGCTTTATTGGCTGTAATCTTGCTTCCACTTAGATCGCCAGGTGCCTGTATTTGCCATGTATAGTATGAATGTAACGTTGTAGTAAGTTTGTCATTCTTGTAGTAATTTCTGCCTCCGTAAGTCACATTTAATCCCGTGTTTGGACCAAACTGTACAGTCACCGAGGTAGAATCATGAATCCCCACCACTAGTATCTCTGTATTTCTGTCCGAGGGCCAATATGTGAAAACGTAATAAGTCGTACCCAAAACGTCCGTGGGAAGCCCAAGGAAACCGTCGTTGGAGTTCGTTTCTTTATTGATTCCATAGACCATTATTTCGTCAGATCCAGTTATACGAATTCCCTTTGTGCTCTTTCCTGATCCTGTCATTCTCAGTGCGTTGTTGACCAATACCTGTTTCACCGTGCCTACGGTAACGGTAAATGATTCGCTAATAGAGGGACTGCTCCATCTCGGTGACGTCACAGACACGCTAACCGGAAGAGATTTGTACGTCGTAACGAAGATTTCGAGATTGAAGTTCGAGGCATAATTTTCCATAAAACCGATGACAAAATTAGTTCCTCTGTTATCTGGCACACCTAAATATATATTACATAAAAAATGTTAATATAACAAGAGATGAAAGGATGAATCTGTAACCGGTTTATCGGTCGGAACTCTGAACGTTTCGTAGGTTTTAATGTATTTTTTAAAGCTAGTGATTATCAAGATTTAGATTGGGGGGGGGGGGGGGTTGCTTACTTAATTACATCGTTACATGTGTCTATCCCGCTTTGTTTTTCTTAAATGATATTAATAAATTAAAAATGAGTAATTATTATGAACGTTTCATAATGTATATTTTACGCCGCCTTTCTCTTTGCAGTTACGTCACACCGGAACTGCTGCCACCGCACAGCTTCCTTAAAAATGCAAAACGCTGAGATGAACGCCTTGAAGACGCACCGCAGCATGAACACAGTGATAGTAGAGCTGTGC